GTCTGTTGTGCACTAGGTAGACAACCCAGTTCGACTAGGAGAGGACATCCAGGAAGACTTGGTGGTTGAAGAGTCTCCCTAAACAGAGCCACCAACCTCCTCAGAAAGTGGACGATGTCGGGTGTTCGTTCGGGCATTCGTATGAGGATTATTCGTGCCATGACCCCAAATCTGTTCTGCCATGGATTTGTCAATTGCTGATCATGGGGGGAAGGGAACATTGCCTGGGACAAGCTAGCCAGCCAAACATAAACATCGGACACCACCGAGTTGAAAACACCGACCGTGTCTGCAGTCGTCAAACATGGGGACTCCTTTTCACGCGGAAGAGTAGGAATGTCAACAAGTTTCCCTCCCAGTCATGGTTATTGTTCCCAGTCATGGTTTCCTTCCCATCAAGTTGCCTTCCAAAATGATCCATTTCATCTATTCCTGGAATGAGCCGGGTGCGCCCTGTTCTCGTTCTCTTTTCCACTTCCACGGCCCGAGTGGAGTGGGCGGTTCAAGGTGACGCGCGGCGAAGCACACGAAGCACCATCAACCGTGCATCCTATGTGAGCCGTGATGAGGAAGGTGACTCAGAAGGCAGCTGAGTCAGTTGTTGACAACATGGTTTGCTCAATCTGAGTGATGCCTTGATGATATTTCGAAGTCATTTATGGACCAGTCTCCAAGAGCAAGAAAACTAGAAATCTGAGCAGCCAAGGTGACATTGCCAGTCGCAAGTCCTATGATGCTGGCATCGAGGATGAAGGCAACTTGCAACAGGGTTAAACTGAATACCGATCATATTTGGGTCACATCAAGCTACGTTGGACATTTAGTGAGAGATTTGAGGAGCACTTCCGAGACAGAACTGACTGCTGCTGACGCTTCAGGTGCTCGTCGCTCCATGGCTGACCGCAAGTCCTACGATCTTGGGCGAGACAGCCAAGGCAGTGCATGTTTTGTTTGCCTCCATTTATTTTTTTCTATCTATCTATCTATCTATCTATCTATCTATCTATCTATCTATCTATCT